GTCAGTATGGAATATTTTTTTCCAGAGGAATGTTTGTCAATCTGTCAATAGTATTTTGCTTAAATGACAAGCAAACACTTGTTAACATCAATTGATTTGATAAGTCTTTAGTCATACCATCAGTGACAGGCTTCAAAAAAGGTTGTCAAAGGAGCTTTAGGGGGAAAAGGAGAACAAGAACAACAAACAATTCTGGCCTTTAAACAGCCTGTATTTCAGTGATACTTTCTAATAGGAGTCAATTGTTAAGTTCAGGACTAGAGCCAGTCAATGGTAAAACAAACCTGTTTACAGCTTAGTTTGCTTTACTCATATTTCAGTATTTTAGCTCCTGTTAGGGAGACAGGACAACAAAGAAAAGGGATGGTGTATAGCCAAAAGGCTGAGGAAAGACTATGTAGTCCTACATCTGGGTCACATCTCAAGCACACATACCACTTACATTAGCATTAATGGACAACTCTCCTATACCAGTAACCTATACAATATTATTTTTATTCTATCAAGACTGCATGGGAGAAAAAGGTAGAGGATGTGACTTGCTTCAGGTTGTACATAAGATGCTTCTGGCCCTTGGCCTAATTGTAGTCACTAAATATGTCTCACCAAGAGCCTAGTCGTTATGGGCCCTCATACTCACTAGGGTCTTCAAAAACACAATTCAGCCAGCCCGACATCTGAAACTTGACGTTGACTCTGCAATGTGCATAAAAAAGCTAAGAAAAAAAACCTGCAGGAACTTAGGAGTGTCAGATATGTGGGATGACTCCAGGCCAAAGCAGAGGGCAGAGATGACAACCAAGCTTCAGTGCCCCTGACAGCAGATCTATTGACAAGACTTTTTTTCAGCTTTAGCCTTTCCAAAACTTTGTTGAATCCTACAAACAGTTATCATATGGTAAATATAACAGTCCAGGTCTTCAGCATGAATAAAAACGCGCACCTGTTGAGCTTGGTAAGGATGTGAGAGTACTCAAGGATGAGGACTTCAGTGAGGATGACTGAAACAGCACTTCATACATGCAGGGGAGAGCCAGGCATCACTCAGAACCCCTGAAATACCAAAGGAAACAACCTCTTCTACCTGACTGTGGGACAAAGAAGAGCAATGAAGCTCCCGCAGTGCCTCCCAGCAGCTTGAACACCCAGATCGAGCCATCTTCCCTTTCCTGTTACTACTTGAAAAGAAGAAAGATGATTCATTTTCTGCCAAAGCAGACGCACAGCACAAACTCATAGAAACAGACAGGCAGGAAGGAGGGGGGAAAAAAAAAAAAAAAAAAAAAAGAGAGTCTGGAATTTAGATAGTAAAAGAAAGGAATTCAGAACTGTTGCAATGACCTGTCTGACCTAGGAAGTATCAGATATGGCAGACTGCAAACAAGACCAGCAGAGTATAAAAGGGTCACTGACTCCAGAGACAGCATTTTCATCCAAAAGCCAGTGGGTAACCTTTTGTGGTTTGGGGTTTTTTTTTTTTTTTTTTTTAAGAATTATAGACACTGATAACAGCCAGATTAAACCAGTAGCAAACCAGCCAAGATCTTCATTTTTCTCAAAACAATATGCCCAGCTTCACTAAATCAAATATTGGCATACCTGTATTTTTTTTGCTTTAATACAAAATAGATGTTTTAAAGACAACTAAAGAGAGAGAGAGATCTATTTCAAAGTGCAGCTAAACATTTCCTCCTGGAATATTTCTTCTCTTTCAATGTCCTTAACACTGCCAGTGACACATTTCAGCACAACTAAAAGACAGTGCTTCTCCATATTACAGCCTTGTAGACTTTTTTTTGTTTGTTTAGTCTTCCTCAGAGGCTCCACGTTGTTTAGAGACATTTACAACAATTAACTGCCCTTCGAATTCCCAAGAGCAAATTTTTATCTTCTTAAACAAGGTGGGAATCAGGTTAAAGGTTACAGGGAAATTACTGACCAGATACAAACTGTGAATGCTGCATTAGCCACAATGACTCTTGGGATTGAAAGCCTACTATCGGTTAAGAAGAGAATATTCATTCAATTACCTTACTGTACATTAGTGAGCTAATGGACATGGTGCATCAGGAGATGAAATAACAGACATTTACTATCTTTTCTGAACAGAATGAAATAAAACATGAAACGTTTATTTTTTTAATAGCTAGATATTAATATTCAACTACAGAGCAGTAAGAAAAACAAGGGCTTTGATGTTAGGCCTGATATAACTGCCGGGGTTGCCTCAGTCTCCTATTATGTACTGGGATGCCAGCATATCTTCCCCTGATCCGAATCTAATCTCATAAATATTCTTCATCAGCTACCATTAAGAGAAGGTTTTCACCTGATGTCACGTGGAGCTGAAACAGTATTGCTGATGGTCACAGTGACATAAAATAAAGGCAAAATCAGTCAAATTGAAAGGGCTGACAAGAAACAGTTCAGAAGTGGCTCACTTAAACCTGGCAAACCTCTCAAGATAAGAGCTGTGGTATGACTGCTCATGTGCAGGGCTAGGTTCAAAAGAGCAATGTTAATAACCTAAAAATAGGCGACAGCATTAAATCTCACTAAAAACACAATGTCTGTGGCCGACAATGCTGTGACTTACGTATGTGCATCCAAGTTTGCTATGGACTGCACTCCCTCGAGCAGATAGCTTTCAGAAGCATCCTCTTTCCCCTACACCATACCAAATAAACAGTCTAGTGAGGCTCTAAGCAGTCATCCTCCCTTTTTCTCCTGGAGTGCAATAAAGAGAACAGGCAAAAGAGAAATGCAATGGAACTGTTCTGTGATTCTTCCTGTGAATGGAGAAAAGATCACAAAAGGCATTCAAAAGGAAGACAGGAGGCAACAAATTAAAGGCGAATGGGTTGTGCTGCATTTAGGCTAAAGCCTTCTGCATCTTCAGCCAGTCAAAGCCAGGAATGGCAGAGCTACAGCTGTGCATAGACACAAGCATAACTGACTATTGCAGGTCCTTTCCATGCTACCTTTTACTTTGCCCCACTGTCTCAATTAGCATAGCTTCACTAGCCCTGGTGTAAGCAGCTAGTGTTAAGCAGTAATACATAAGCAGAACATATAATAGAAGGATACATTTACAAGTCAAATGTTGGGCATGCAGATGTTATATAGCTGAGAGCTACTGAAATGCCTTTTTGTTTTAAAATTGTTTAAACTCTGTAAGTTTCATCACCAAAATTAATACCTGCTGTTTGTGCTGTAGCAGACAGAAGAACCCATTTAGCATAGTGATAGTCATCAGCTAAGTTGTGTATCTAAGACTTTACTGCACCTGCTTCTCCACCAACACAAGTTTCAGAACTAAATTACATTTCAGCCAAACCTTGATCATCATACGAAGCACGCACTGCAGAACAACTCAAACATGCACAAACACATCTTTGTGTAATGTCCTGAGAATAGCTGAAACTTACACAAATGAAGACAAGCATAACAGTGTCTACTAGCATCAGAAAATGAAGGAAACTATCAGGTTTTCTAGCATGAATCTCAAGTCCCATCCTGCCTCCCTTCTGCCCCAGGCAAGATATCTTGCTTCTCTACTTCTCCAAGTCTGTGTTCTTTTAGGCATGTTAATGACTTGAATCTTCTAAGATCACCAAGCAGAAGGAGACAACCAGTTCTCTTCCTGTGGATCTTGTGAAGAACATAAACCTAGACCTCAACAAACAAAAGGTCAGCACGACCCAGGTCTATGGGAGCGCAAAAAGATCCAGGAAGAATGTTTTAAATATTGCAGATGACTCTCTCTAGTACAGTTGACCTGCCAAGGTACAACGTGCCTTAAAAAAAATGCAAGCAGAGTTACAACTGCAAAGAGCTTACAATATGAGGTTGACCTGTGCTTATTTTGTACTGTAAATTTCCTTCCCGATTTTGCTTTGAAATATTGCTGCAAACAACATCCACCGCTATTTGAAAAGTCACAACATTTTGTCACTTAGAGCTGCGCAGGGTATACAATTACAGGGATGCAATTTTCACAGGAAGGTGGTATTTAGAGGAGCTAATATCACAGACACAATGAACATGAGGAAAATGGATGGAAGCACAGAAAAAGAGAGATAAAGGAGACAAAGCCAGATCCACAAAAAGAAGCAAAATGTTGAAACTGGGACTTCAGCAGAGATGCTTAGGTGCAGGAGATGGAAAAGATGATCAAAGCCCTTCGACAGATATTCATTAGTAAAAAAATCTACAGCAACTTAAGTTCTGGCTACATACAAAAGCATAACTCCTTGTTGGCAGGGATGGTCAGGTGGCACTGCTCCAATGCCTACACCTGATCAATATTCTCTCAGTAGATATTCTACTTCTGTCTGCAAAGGCAACCAATGACCTCAGCATGCTAACATGCATCTCTAGAAATAACTTCTACTCAATACATACAGACTAATGTCTTCTCCTGTTGTTCAAAAAGAAAAGAGCAACTGTACCTCCATCTGCAAAAGGAAGTGTTATGAAGTACCAAGCTATGATTTGAGCCTGTTAATGTTAATTAAACACAGACTATCCCACAGTGCAGAATCAGATATTTTAGAAACCTTTTGCTTAAAAGAGTACAAATCAGCCTTTAGAATTAGCTATTTGCTTAATTCCCATTTTCCTTCTCACTCTACAGTGGCACTATACTGTTAGGAATGATATTTTAAGTATCTAAATCTCCTCACAAATTCTACTTTAGGAGCCAGATGTTCAAAGTTCAGCACTGCAATGCTCAGCATTACCACATCTGCATTTCCGTGTTGAACTGCCTTGAGAAAGTACCCATTCAAGACTGACCAGCAAGCCTGAGTGTGGATCAGGAACTGAAAAGTCAGTCCAGTGATTCACAGTGAAATCTTTTTCCTGCCAGATCGCCCCTTGAGTAACTCATCCTCAGCATTCACACCATTATCTGTATTTTTCAGCGTACTAATCATACTCTAACAGCACAACTGTATTGCTGCATGGGGAAATTTCTGGTCCCAACCCAACTTTTTTACCTTTGGATCAGCAGTCAGCAGCTTGAATGCTTGATATACTTGTGCTTCTTTCACGCCTCCACCGAGATCCAAGAAGTTGGCTGGCTTTCCACCGTTCAAGGATATTATATCACATGTTGCCATTGCAAGTCCAGCTCCATTGACTGTAATCGTAAACATCAAGTAGTTGTATTTCACATAAAAGTATATAAGGTTTGTGAAAAGGCTTAAACCGTATCAGCACAAGCACATAACATGGCTCAAAATGTTACATAAATAGCTATTTCTAAATAGGTCAGTACCTATTTAAGGATATCCAATGCAACAAATAATTCAAAATCTGGTGCACACACACCGACATTTAGGTTTCTTTATGACTGTATCAATTTTAGGACTTAGATGCGCACCTTCCCTTAAGCATGCACGAGCACCAGAATGGTAATTGTGGAAATGCAAAAACTTCTGATTTAAAAAAAAAAAAGGATAGAACAATAAAAAAAAGAGAGAGACAGACACAAAAACTTCTGGGAATAGTGATTGCATCATGAGACGTAAAGGACAAATTGACTCCTTAAGCTTCCCTCCTACTATTGTGACAGCAGTAGATGATGCTTTGTATTACTGTAAAACACAACCACATTTTGGGGACAGATATCAAATGCTCCTGAAACTGCCTTTTGCTTTGCATTTGCACCAGTCTAGAAGCATTGCCATGGGCACCAACATCCTCTAAGCTAGGAAAAGTAGACGAGAATTATTTGTCCCCAGTAAGTTGCTCCTGCTGGACAAAGTAAGGCTTCTGTGTCACCTGTAATTTAACAGTGATACCTAATACTAAATAAAATACTGCAGTGTTGCCAATTGTTGTTTGGGTTTTTGGTTTTTTGGGGGTTTGGTTCTTTTGTTTGTTTTTGTTTTTAAACTGAGATTAAAGTCTCACTGTCACTTACTGAATCAACTGCAACACATTATCAGTATCTTTTGGATTTGCAGTTAGAGTACACATCTAAGCAAAGTAAATGCTGGATATTTTCTCATCAAGCTGAGATAAAATGCCTAATTCAATTAGATTCACAATAAAAAGCTGTACTGGCTAAAAGAATTTGTACAAAATGAAAATTTAGAGCATAGGTGACTTCTTTAATTATCTCTTCTAAACACAAGAGTAATTTCTGTTTTACAGAAACTTCAGGAAATTAAAAAACCTGTTTTTTTCCTTTTAACAACCAAGCAGCTTCTTTAGCAGCTTTCCTTAAAGCGAAATGGAGTTCAATATTCTGTTGTAAGTGGGAATATCATGTTTTTACACACCTATGTTTGCAGAGTCTTTTAAGTAACACAGTCTCATTTTTGAAAATTAATGACTGAATTCTGATGACTTCTCTTGTTTTGTTTTAATTACTGGAAAGACCAATTGCATCAGCTTAAAAATTCAGAATGTAGAAACCCCACACCCTTCTCCCTTAGCCTGCCTTCTCTCTGATACCACATGCACCCTGCCTGTCTGCTGTGGCCTTCATCACAGTTTCAACACAATTTTAGTTTCATTCCTGCAAGAACTTGTGGAAGGACAGACAACCTCAGCAAAATAGACTGAAATACAGCGAAGGGTGGATTGAATGTCAGAATGTAAACAAAGTCTATACACTGAACAAGTATGAATTTGTCTTCAAATGCCTTTTGGATTTATTTGTTCTTACCAAAGCAAGCAATATTTCCATCCAGTCCTATATATTTTAAGTCATATTTGGCAGCTTCGTTCTCTATAGGCTCATTTTCAGACTTGTCATCCATGGCAAATATTTCTTTTTGCCTAAATTCTGCATTGTCATCAAAGTTTATCTTGGCATCAAAACAAACAACTAAAGAAAAAAAACATACAGGCATTTAAAGATTACGGTTAGAGCTTCTGAAATATTATGACTACTACAGCAGGGAGGGGGAGAAGGTTGCTTAAGGACTGATGCTGCTTCCAACATATGATCAGCTGAAGTTCTAGCATTGAGTCCAGTAGAGTTGGGCAAGTTTTCCTTAAATCCTATATTAAGAAAAGGTACAGCAAGCATCTCCACACTACAGTCACATGCCCTTGTCACAGGATGATCTTCTGTGTTTGCTTTAAACAAAGTTCCCCTAAGTTATGAAGTCAGTTTTTATGATTTGGACAGGTGGATTGCAATAATTACATAAGAAAGTCTACTTTAAATATTTTGAATGTATGACACATACAACAGGTAACAGGTTAGAAATCCAAAGCAATGTTTGGTAACATGCACTTATTTATGAACAATACAAAATGCTTTCCTCAGCCATATTTTTAGTTTATAATGTTACTAGCTATACACACATTCTTTCACTAAAGATTTGAATTAAAACAACTTTAAGCCAATATGTGTTAAATATTACCAAAAGGTTACTTTTAAATAAAGAAACTTTTAAAAGTAAATAAAAAACTTTTCATCAATGTCAACATCCGCTATGGTTGTAAAAACAAATTAAGAAGTAGTTAAACCTGACTATATTAAATAATAGATACAAAAGACTAGCTAGTAGACATAATATTCACATAAACCCAGCAGTAACAGAAATGCATGTAGAGTGAACTGGTTATTTGCCTATTTACTGACTCATTATTTCTATGGGTTTGCATAGGCAAACACCTCATTAGATTAAGATGTTGTAAGTAAATGTAAGACTCTATACTTACCATTTCACTATGCAAGTAATTTGATTTGTACTATATCCAGATTATAATTACTGACTGAAGATAATTAATTTCTCAATGCAAACCAGTCAGATTTAAGTGCCTTTAAATGCTGCATCCAGAAAAATCTAATAGTTTTTCTTTCTGCTGTGTTTTGATTCATATTGCCATTGAAACACACACATTGTACGTGTGCATGTGCTCACGAACATTGTACACATCTCTGCAACTAGAGGTCAAGTATAATTAAAAAGACAATTTTTGGTCTTTGATATAGATACCCATCAATTAATATAACTAATCACACAATCTTTTTGGTGGACAAATACCTCTCTTGGTTTGTTTTTGTTTTGTTTTTTTTTTTTTAATATACAATTGCTTAACTTGCGGGAAAATACCTAAGCAAAAAGCAAACAAAACATTTACACAAACAGGAGAGTCTCAGTTTTATGTCTTGATTTGCATTGGGTTTTCTTGTTTTGGTTTTCTGATGTTGCTGGGGTTTTTGTGGGTTTTTTTTAAATACATTTGATATGTAACCAATACCAGATTAAATTAAAACAGGATCAAATTTTGTTTCAGTGACTGCAGTTTCAGAACTATTCATGAGTGTTGGTGCATAATAAATATCTCCTGGAAGAGTCTAGATCTTAGCCTGTCAACCATCATGTGGGAATCTGCCAAAAGGAGAAACGTCTGAAGTTCATAATACACTTCTACTGTACTACAGCTGCTTTAATTTTTTTTTAACAAGACCTGTACCATTTTTCTTCTTCAAGCTTTCAGTTCCTTAAATTGCTAAAACAACTCAAACCTAGAGTAAAACTGCAGTTTCAGAGCTCTGTTTACCTTGCACATGAACATCCTCAATGTCACATTAATAGAATCTAATTTCTACAGAACATTCATCTTTAACAAAGTAACAGGAAAAACACCTATTAATATTAATATCAAACCATTTTCACCATCAAAAGCACATTGTTACATGCATGATAGATTATACAAATGAATTTTGCTTTTAAACAAATATCAAAGAAAGCTCCAATACTTATATTCATGGAGTACTTCTGTTGTTTTTGCTAGCAGTTTAGGATTTTTGTCATCTGCCAATTCAACAGCTTACACTGAGAGCAAACAAAACAAAAACCCCCAAAGAAATTGGCAGTTACAGGCTTCTGACCCAATAGTGTTAACAAAGAATTTGCTACAAAATTAAACAAAAGGAAATACAAATGGCAATGCATTTTCTAATGGAAATTCACACAAGTGAAAAACACAAAACACAGCAAGAAATAAATCCATCTTAACTGTTACTTTGACAGGAATAATGGTCTTCATACAGAGAGTTATATTTTATCATTAGAAATAACTGCCTTAAGCTACTCAAATGTTCTTCCATTTGTTTTATCTTTATTCTTCTTCAAGACATTTCAGATGGAGAAACTGCTAGCAAAAAAAGAAATAAGCACAGGAAGACTTCTGTATATGTCTGCTAGTAAGACAGCTTTCACAGCTTGAAACCCTCTCTGTTTCTGCTCCTCAGCTTCCTGGATGCAAAACACATGCGGAAAAACCTCAGAGAAAACAACATAAAAACTCCTACCATCCCTCATATTAAGCCCTCCTCACTAAATATGCACAGCCATTCCTGAAAAGCTACGTTGGTAACTAATCCAAATCAGTTCATTTCTTCCACAGTGCCACCTCATAGTAGTCCAGCTAGGATGCAAAGTTAGTACCACCGTGGTTCTTTAGGACCTTTTAGGACCACCAGCTTTGTTTCCCCTCGTTCCTAAGTGTCCTCTCCTTCACTTGCCCCTAGCCGTCTACCAGTTTCCCCTGTTGGTACCCAGCCAAACACCTCAACATCTTCAGCACCTCAATGATGCCCCTATTCTGTTATCTGACAGCACTGTCTCTGCCCTTCTCGGTGTCTATACACATCTACAGTGCCCACCCACTAACTCCCAAGACATACTTAAAGGTCTTCCTTGCAGGACTACATGGCTGAGATGATGTAGGTACTGAACTGGGGATTCTGTCCTTTGCTCTGCTTATTTTGGCAGAATAGTAAAGTGCTTCTGTATTAGTCATCTGAGCTAGCTTTGAACCAGCAAGTGTGAATACCAAACAGCCCAGTCCTGGCACAAAGAGCTCACCTAAAGCTCATTTCCCTGCCTGATAGAAGGCAACTGTCATAGATGTCCCAATTCCTGACATCTGACTGAGCAAAAGGTCTGCCGGGTACCTTCCACACTGCCCAGTAGCGTTAAGGTATCTTGGTCAATTAGTCTACTAAAAAAATTATTTCAACAAGTTTTGAGGAAGGAAGTTTTGTTTTTACAGTATCAGTGGTCTTGAACCCACAAAATAAACCTGGTAAGTACATCAATTAGAGCAGACAAACGTACCAATGAATTTGTATTGAAGTGAACATCATAATCTGCAGGGAAGTTCCAGCAGTTTTTGTTGCACCTATTTTAAAGGTCCCATTCATCTTCCAAAGGTCAAAAGTGTCATGTGTTGCACATTGCTAGAACGTGAAAAATCCAGACCATTCATTTTACAAGGCCCTATTTCATTGTTCTGCTTTAACTTCACCGTGCAACACAAAATGAAGATGTCCTTCTCACCTCGTTCTCAACTGGTTCTAATGAGGCCAATGGATCTATTTAAATGGTGGGGGAAATCAACAGTCTATTGGGTTCTGAAGATTTCCATTTAAAATACAGCCTACAATAGAACTACACTGGTAAACAGCAGGGCTTTTTGTTTCTCTCCCCCAGTACACATTTCACAAACTGCATAATAACCAATGGAGCTAGAGTTAGTTGCTAAGAATTTGGCTTACATTTATTAAGCTGAGGGAGGTTTACAACGCAGAAACTATCGATTCAATGCGTACATTATTACGGTACTTCAAATGATCTGGAAATCTGAACACACAGTGCTGTGAAAGATTCTCATATAAAAAGAGTTAAAGAATTTGGTGTCTGTCCAGAGAGCTAAAGGATTCTGGTGGCAACAACACTAAACTCCCCCACCCTCAACCAAGAAGGAATTCAAAAAAGGTCTGCTATCAAAGCAAAATTCATACATTCAAGCCATAAATATGTTCTTCTAGCTTAGTTTAACCTGAAAACAGCTCATTATGTAAAAACAAACAAACAAAATGACACATTTTATCATTTTTATCATTATCTCTGAATTATCCTCATATAATAGACAAGATATTCCTTTTTGTATTTGTTTTTAAAATGCCACTTTACAACAGAGCACTTCAGTGTCCCAGAGCCTACTTTATAACAAAGACCACCATCTTTTAAGCTGTGTTAATAAAACACTCTGGGACAGGATTTGTTTTACATCTTTTAGACATTTTCAGAGTTGATTACCAGCAGAATTTTCCTTTTAAGCTGTGGACAATTCTCTGCCAATTCTTTTGTATTTTGTTTTTTAATGAAAAGGGAAAAACAAGGATGGACAATTGGAAGAGACCGCGCAGTTTCTAGCCACAGTTCAGCTTCTGAATTCCTGACCAACTGAGCCAAAAATATGGATTTTTAGTGAAAAGCTGTTTATTTTACAAACTAGCTATGGGCACATAAAAAGTATTTTAAAAATGCTAATTCTTTCCATTGGTACTGACTCCTATGAGGAACTCGTGTTCTTAACTGATGTAGCAGTGATCTTTTTCCAAAAGTTTCCAGAACAGCAATTAAGCAGCCACATTCCTAATGCCTGTTAAAATGGGTAAAAGCTTTCTCTTTCCGTTTTCTAATTTCCACTTTAATCTGTAGGCATACCTTATAAAGTTGGTGAAAAGCTGGAATTGTAGTTTTTGACAAACATTGATAAAGAATACTCAGGAAACACCCACCAGCACTTCCCAGTTTCAAACTTCTCTCAAATCACAAAATGACACTGTAGGTAGGGCCTCTACTAGGAAGTCACTAGTGGTTGTGAACCGCAGCCTTTGACACCGAAGTCTCAGCTAGCTCCCCCTGAGTCCACAACTTCTCATCATTACCCATTTAAATCAAAGACAAGAAATAAAAAAGGGAAGGGGCCTGAATACCGTAAAATATTGGCATTATGAGTGAATGCATGGGTAAAAATGCTCTGGCATCAAATGAAACAGCGAGGTGGTAACTACGATTCACCTGGACCAGCCCCACTGTTTCAAAATACCACAGGCATCTTTACATCCTCCCCTCTTCGCCTTTGTCCAAGTTAGTTGGACAAAAATGACAAATGGAAGGAAAGGTTGCAGCTGGAAAACCAACTACTAGAATGTTGTGAAAGCTAACCTAGCTCCTTATTTTTACCCTATACCTTCTTAGCCCTGTATTCACAGTGGAAGCAGATCAGTTACCCTTTTTTGTTCCCGAAGGACGAAGCTAAGTGTCAGTTCCAGCTGGAATTTCTCTTGTGCTCTAGTAGGTTGCAGAGTCATGCACTTACATTTTTAACTTACCCATATGTTTACAAACATAAAATAACAAGTTTCCTTCCACATAATCTCAGTAATTCTAGCAGCATTAACAAAAAAACAAAACAAAACAAAAAACACAACAAAAAACCCAAAACCAAAAAATCCCAAAACAAAATCAAGAAAAATCCAACTTTGTACAAAGAGCAGAAGAGCAGAAAATGTTGCTGTTTCTCACCAAGCGTAACATGTAGAAGCTGATACTTCCAGTATTTGGATGAAACAACAAAAGGTATTGAAATGTAAAATCTGCCATGGGAATATTTATGAATGTTGCTTAAATTACATTACAAAATGAAATTAATGCAAAGCTGCTGCTACAGCCTTCTATGCAATTTAATTTATAGTTTGCATAAATAAAGAATCATAATGCATTCATTTGTTTCCTTCAATTTCTTACCTTGCCCTTCTGGAGTTTCACCAAAGGGATTCACTTCAACCTGAGTGGCATCAATTTTCAAGAAGAGATTATACAGCTTCTTAATTTGATCTGCTGCCTAAATTTGATCAAGCGATTTACAATTACCACACAGAAAAATAAAAGTTAATGTTTTCAAGGCAAAGGTAAACCATTATTGATTATTTTTAATGTATTAAATGTCACACTAGCTCTAGATAACGGCTTTTATTTCTGTTTTCTTAATCATATTTATATAGTATCATAAATAGCTATAATGTAGCATTATGATACTGCAAAACATTTAGTAAATGTGCATTTAAAGACTACATGAACTGGAGATTTTCTACAAAATAAACGGCACTATTACTATGACAAGTTTAATTTAAAAAGTGCCTAACAGCTCATAATGACATATTCTCCAGTATGCTGAGATCCAAGTTGCATTCACGTTAATCAGTCTAAATTCAGAAATCGTAACGCAGTATGTGCACATTAGTGACTTTAGAAAAAAAATATAAATTTCTCCTTCCTACATCAGTCTGAAATGTTTTCTTGAAGAAATTATGTCAGAAGCATGCTTGTTTACTCTCTACAAGATACTCTTATTGTTCCTCACATCCATCTCTGCAACTGGTTCTGTGGCCGAAAGTATTGCGACTGACTACTAACTTCCAAGTCTTTTGCTCTTATAACATTTTTCGATTAACAGAACAACTTAAACAACAGCAACGTGAACGTGCATAAAAAAATTCCTTTGGTTCATTACACACTGACAACCTATTAGCTGAACTAAGTTTGCAGATGCAGAAGTGCACTAATAAAGAACCATTCAAATTTGTTCCTCCATTACCGATCAGTTAACTGAAGTACACAACCCAAAAATATCTGGGACCTCTCCTAATAAGCAAAGTGAATGAGAATAAAAAAAAACAGAAGTCAGCTTTCTCCCATAATGTCATTCATAAGAAAGAAAACATTACCACTGGAAAGACTCAACCCCAATACTGCACTACATCAGGAAGAACACGGTGACGGATGTTCCCATCTCCCTCTACTGAGTCCTGACACAGCAGCACCTGGAGTGCTGTGTCCAGTTTTGGGACCAACACGTCTAAGACTCTTTATAGAGTTACAGTTTGGAAGCAGCATACGAATTGCTTATGAAGTCTTCCCTGCTCAAAAGTCATCAGCTGAAGCATTCTCAGTGGTTTTGACTTAAAAAAAATTATCAGTTATAAATCCGCACCCATCAAGGCAGCAGTTTCCTTGGCATGAACGCGCCGGTTGACAAACTATCCTGATAACACATGGCTAAGGCTATCAACAGTGATGCTAGGGAGGAATTCCCACTGTGCAACCCCACATTGACTCTGGGCAACCTGCAAAGCTGTTGTTGCCCTAGTACACTGCTGTAATTTTAACAGATCACCAGAATCGCTTAACTTTTATTAAGGGCTGCTCCATCTTTCAGCACCTCTCTGAATCAGGCAGCTTAATGTCAACATTTCTCTTTCTCAAGGTCTACAAGTACTGAGCCTCTTCGAGGCAAAGCATAAAATCCCAACCTAGAAATAGTGAATGTATAAGTAAACACTAGGATTTGTCTGAATAAAAACTTTGTCTCTATGCTTCACTAAATTCCTTTGAGTTGAGGAAAAGAACTGCATTCACTGCAGCATTATTTAAATGTATTGTTGAAAAGTCCATATACTGCTGTTAATTATTAAGTACCAGAACTCTTCAAGGGTTGAAAGGTTCTACATAATCATTCCTCCTCATTAGATATACAGCTATATCTTCAGATGTGTTAATCAAGTTAATGATTATGCATTTGTTAATTGCACGGTTGGGATGGAAAATAATTAAAACTGCTGAATTAAAAATAAAGGAGTTCTACAAAAATGACTGTTTGATACTACTGAAAAAAACTAGGCAAAAGTAGCTTAAACAAGCTTTCCTCTTCTCTGCAAAATGATTCATAAAGGCAAAATATCTTGCATATTTGTATACAATATGGAATTCCAATATATATAGAAAAGAGATACTGAAAAAACAACAAGCTGGCAGCCTTCTGGCTTTGAGTTGAAGACTGGGGAGGGGGGAAAAAGGCTTCAATGACACAGAAAGATACACTTCTACTTCTCCCCATATTAAGGGCGAAATTTTCAAAAAAAGCTCTACCCATGCAATTCACTGAGCTTCAACAGAATTCCAATGAAATCAAAAGAAACCCACATGGTGTAACAGCATGTTGTCATCAATTGCTTCAAAGACCAGGGACTTTCACTTTGGAACAATAAGGATCTTATTCAAATTGCTAAAGCCTGATGACAATTATATAGGTGCAATTTAGTATTTAAAATGTCAAAACGGTCCTGATCTAATGGACACTTAGCCTTTCATGTCTATTTGGAAAGCATTTATCATATAGCTGGGCTAAAAAGGCTTCAGTAAAATCTGAGGGAGTAGAGTCAGGTTACCTGCTGTTGCAAAGGTCCTTTGAATCCCAAATTTTTTGCCATTTGCAATGCCTGATGATCCTTTATGCCTTCAAAAATATCTATTTCTTCCTGTAACAATAACGTGCATAAATACAACTAAATATTCAATCTGAATGGAGATTTATAACTTCAAAAGGAAAACACTTAGTATACATTTGCAAATTAGTAATTAAAGCATGGCTGTTTGCCAAAGCTTTCAGACTGAGGCTATAGCAGCTGCCTATAGGGTATGTTATAATTACCACACCAGCTATGAAACAGTCCTTCCAAAAAATATATAATTCTTCAGGGTGGCATGCTGACAAGACAATGTGACACCCAGTTTTCACTTTTAATTACTGTACAGATGGCGTTGACGAATATTTAGTCCGTTAATTTTTATGACATCTTCTGGAATATTTTCAAGGCGATGAGTGTCACTGCCCAGTAACACTGTGAAGTTTATGTAATTTTAAAATGCACATTAAATATTTTTACAATTTTTTGAATAATTATACTTGATTGTATCAATTATTTTCCCAGATGAATAGCTTCTCTACTCGTTATCATGCCACAGTAACATAAAAAAATACTTAAATATAGTCATCGTTAAGAAAGCAATTATAACAGTTGTATTTCAGATGCAGAAGTCATCCAGGTACAAAGAAATAATTAACAACTCTGTCAAATAGAAAAAAACAACCCTAGAAACAATAACCATGTTGGCACTGACCCACTTGTGATAAAACTGTGTACCTTCCTGAAAGTGAAACTCACTCACGAAACATTTCAGATATTAAGTTTAACATATCATATAACAGCCAGATTTAAGCTCTTTTTCTAATCAAGCTGGAGACACAAACACTAACAAAAACAGATGTTAAACATGCTTCATTCATCTACTAGATGACAGATCTGATCCCCTATTTGGTGAAACACAATTTTTATGGTTCTTATTGTCTTCTTTCCATACACGGAAGAAGGAAAAATGGAAGGGGGAGGGGAAGATATATTCTTTTGGATAACTGACAAGGAACATTTTTAGTGTAAAATATTATTTTAATACCTTAAAGATAAGTTCTGGGCTAGTAACCGCAACTTCTTCTATGTCAACGCCACCCTGTGGACTGCCAACCATAACAGGTCCATTGCAAGCTCTGTCCATCAAAATTGCGAAGTATGTTTCCCTGGAAATATTCAGTGCTTCTGCAACCATCACCTAAAAATGAATATAGGGAAGAAAAAAACCAAACTAGCAACAGTTCTGACGGGTCCATCTAGCTGGTGAAGCGGAGAACATTGTGGCTCACATTTTGTGCATTGCCTTAAAACGCAGCAGTGTGATACCTGCTATCCTGAAAAGAAATGTTTGTTTCACTGCTTTTACAAGATATTACAAACCAGTGATCTTTTGCCCAAGAAATCCTCTCTCCCTAAATAAAAGACTCCTCTGATGCTGCTGCTCTCACTGGGGCATGTACCAAGCAGTATAAACCAGGAACACCTAATTGCTGGGGTTTTCCCAAGAAGAGAATCGTTGCTGCTGCTGTGTCCAGAAAGGGGACCTCCATATTACCTTTTTATTCCCAGCAAGCAATTTAACATACTGTCCCCAGAACAACTCAAGTCACAAGGGAGTACAGTTTGCCAATCACATAGATGTAAGGGAGGCTATGTTGGCTTTCAGATGCATCTCATCAGTAGTGCCGTTCCTTACCAGTAAAGTCTCAGGCTTAAGTTCTCTCCCTCATTCTGACAGAAAGCCATCCCGCACTTAGAATCTCAGCACTGAATTCCTACCCCACTTAAGTACTTCCTAAGGAAATGGGTTTACAGATAATTCTGCCATCCAGCTTTTTACTTTCAGTTTAGAGACACAAGTAGATGTGGGACCTTCAGATACCGGCACAATCCAGACACATAATTTATTTCTCCAAAGAGCTATTAATTTCTATTTACTACTATAAATTACAGAGCCCTTCCACACCAGTACCTGGCAGATACCTCAGCACACAACAACAAAGATGATTCAAGTCCTACATCTTTGGAATCTACAAGTACTCACATTAAAATTGGGTGGGAAAATGGCCCATATAAATTCTTTGTTACATTTTTTTCTCTTGCCAAAAACATGCCAAAGTCAAAGTCATTTTAGTATTACAATAACCGTACCTTCCTCTTCATCTGAACTGTCAATTTTTGTAATAGTTTAACAATAGCTATTGAAGCAATTTCAGAGATTAAGTAGTTTTACAGTTGGCAAAGGGCTCACAAAACTATGTTTTGATGCAAGAATACTAAATTCCCCCAAATGTTCTTCATCTTAAGAAGTAAAAAGTCTGCATATGATCACTACTAATTGTTCCTTATAACAGGTGCCACAAACTCAGGTGCAAAGACTGTAAATCTGCTCTGCACTACAGTTTTGCTTTTCAACCGGCAAGTTGCGCAGCCACCTCTGCAATTTAATTAGCAGCATAGCTTCTCCTTACGACAATCAACTACATTCTTCCTTAGCACAGCTACTATTTCCTGCCTTTCAATGGAAGTAGCAGAAATCAGGAAAATCACTTCCCTAAGATTAATATAATTAAGAAGGATTAAGCACCAATGTCTTTCTAACATGGTCTGTTTATAAAGCGACAGTTTTGAACAATGATTGTAGATGAAGATCATCAGTCTGAATGAAACATGAAGTGAAATTCATTCTACCAGTCAGCAGTTCAAACTCCTTAGATCTGAAAGGCATGTATACGTACACCTGCAGTCTTAAAACTCTGCCCACCCGGCAAGAAGTGTTCCATCAAATAAGTATTCCTGGGGTTTTCATAGTTCAAGGACTATAAACAAGAAAGATGCACTATACTTTCACCCACATCACTTCTTTGACATTCTACTCCAGAGCACACAAGAAAGAATGTACGTACCTTCTGCCTGGCTGTACATCTTAACAGAACAGAAAAAAAAGCAAGAGACAAGGAATTAAATAAAGTCCTCTGTGCTCAGAATGGAAGAAAATATGCTATTTCTTTATGGGTTTTTTTGACTTGGAAGAAATTTGCTTTATAGTAATTCTGTTTCCTTCTACTTTTACCTTGCTTTATTCATAGAACATAGGGTGATGTAAAGGAATCATTCAAATAAGCGACTGTCCAAAAGCAAACCAAAGAAAACTAGGGTGATGGAGGCAACTAAGAATGTAGAAAACTACCGCACTACTTAAAAAGTATCTGCCTACTTTAGGCTACTATAAAAGGATGCTAAAAGCCAACTTCAGAAACATAGCTCAGCTACCTACAAAGATTTGTCAAATTAACAAGCAAAGATATGGAAAGCATCCTTGATTTGCTACCATTAGTCTTTTTACCTGCATGCATGTTTTCACCTTCTTACATATCCTGCATCAATGTATCTGAAAAACGTGAATCAACTGCTTTAGACATAGGTCAAATAAAACCAATTGGTGCTACTGGATCTTGTCTGAGCTATTCAGACAGTTTCTGCAGTGCTCAGGAACAGGGCCAGATTTAGGATGGGAATCCACTCAACAAGTCTTGAGGAATATATTTGCAAGCACAGCAGGTGGAACTTACATTATTAAATCAGGTATCTTTTCAACTGTTACTTCTGACCCAGGTGATTTTCCTCAGTATTGCTAATTAACCATGTCAACCTTGACAAATACTTCTCTGTCTTAATTCATAAAACCATTGAGAGTCCATCTACTTCATAGTAGGCAAGCTTACTGCAGAGTAAAAATTGTCAGACTGTGCAACATCTCTCATTTCTCCCAATGAAAAACAAGTTTCTTTCCTTCACCATCCTCCCTGTTTGATGCAGAGCAAATACAGGGAAAGTGGTGTTCAAGGTCTTTAAATATTATTTGTTAAAGTCTACCTATCATTCACCTGACAAAACTTATGCAAACACATTAATGAACAGTTAAGAGTAGCGAAACTGAATCTACAAACTGTTGACTCTTCTCATATCTTGTCTGGTTTGCTTATGATAAAGAATGTGAAGCATCATTATCGGTTTACCACATCAGGTTTATATTTAAAATGTCCTGGGGAAAAATCAGTTTTCTTTAAAACTCCCTGACAACTTCAAGCTTTCCTTCTTAAAAACAAATCACTACCTAAAAGTTTAAGTCATACATATAATTTCATAAGGGTAACTATAACAGCTCTTTTATACTGAATCAAATATTCAAAATGTTAATTTTGTTATTGCTTGGAGAGAAAACACAGGTAGCAAATTCTCAAGTTGTCATGATAAGAGAAGACTGTCTTCTCAGATAACCAAGCTCTCCAAATTCCAAGCTGCCATAAGAGGATTTTATGTAAACTCACAAAATAGCTTCCAAGTTACAAGGGAACTGAGGAGACTGCTATTTATTTAAGAAACATCAATCTAAAGAAGCACAAACATGCTTTAAATTCTGTAGTAGGCGCACAAGCTGAGAAAACAAGCTGAAAACACCATTTTCTGCTCCATCATTATTCTAATTGTAGAAAATTTCTCTTATTCCTTCCTTAGAAATACATGTAAAAGGTACGAGACTTCCACTCCCCGACTTGACACTAGCTCATTGATTGCCTCACAGAAACTGAATTAATAACTATTTTCCTTCTGAAAAACATTTATTACCTAAATTTTTTAAAGCATATGAGTTCAAACTTTCCAGAACGCCAAAAATTTCAAAAAAAACAAAACCTAAAACCATGCCTTTTCTTTTCTTCCTGAACTGCAATTTTCTTTAAGTACATGTACACACACATATTTTTATATACACATACAGAGAAAGCATATGCCTTGAAATAGAACAAAAATGCCAGCTATTAATTCTCAACTTTCCCACTGGTCTTAGCAAGCTCAAAGAGTCTGTCCAGCATTTTCTGTGCACTAACTAAGCACTGCATTAAATGACATCTTAGACATAGCTAAACTTATACTTTTAATCATATTACTGTAGTTCGCCCCTTGATTAAATTTTCAGTGTTTGACATTGTAGCCCTGATACTACAAACCTGAATGCCTCAACTCCTTTAACTACTTCGAAGATCCTAGAGTGAGCTAACTTTGGAAAAGATAAATGCTTTTAAAAGACATTAATTTTTCTGTGAAATGGTCTTTTGATGACCTAGATGCATAATTTTAAACATGCTTTCTTCACTATCTAACTAGCAATGAGGAAACCATTGGCCAAAGTGTTATGTAATGAATTAATTTAAAACAGGGTGCATGCTCTTTCCATACACTACCAAGAATCAAGATCTTAACACCAAAAATATAAAACATACTATTACCTTGTTACATATGTGAGCAATGAAGACATGAATTGGCCTATGGCTTTTAAAAGCCAACTCTATAATCAGAATGGAAGTCAACAGATGAAAACAGATGAAAAGCATCACACTGGTTTATCATGCATCGATATTAAAATACTTGCAAGCTGTGTCCTGAAAAGTTTCCATGTAAGCCTATAGCAAAGGAAAAATACACAGTCTATCAAGGCTATATACTTTCCTGTACCACCAAAATAAATATCTGAAGTTCAGCAATGCAAACTTCACCTTAAACTTCACATATGCCCTAGCTGCTTACTCTTGACCATTGTTTATTCATACAAGCAACGTGTGGATGGGGAGGAAAGCAGTTACAAGTTAAATCTTCTATAGCTATTCTATACATGGTACGAAAGCCATCTTAATATAAATCCTTTGAATAATCCATTTCAAAAAACCCCAACACCCATACTTTTCTCTCATTTCTATCAATTTCAAAGAGAATTAGAAGTTTCTTTTTCAGAACTGAATATGTAAATGAATGAACAGACTTGCACTCAGACAAAAGAGTGAAATTTCCTGTACTGATGTATTCAAAGTAGGTCAACTAGGGCAAAAGAATAAAACCAAGGAATTTATAAAAGAAAGCTGCTTTTACAATACAAATTTTTCAAAGCAGAGTGCCTTAATATGGGAAATATATATCCTTTTTTATATCCTTAGTATTATCACGATCTCTGACAGACATGCCCTAATAGTAATACTGTTCCTTCTTTTTAATAGCTAGTATTTCTTTTTAACAACTACAAGGAGTGATGGTAATCTGCTCTCCCTGCTCCCCAAGAGAAGAACCACCTGAGCACCTTCCTCCAGCTCTCATTAGACAGTATCTTCCCAGACAGGTGTTCCCCTTCTATGCTAATACACCAAGCTGTTCACAATATATTAAAAGTGAACTGCAGTTCTTTTCAGCTCATGCCAAATTAACTCCTGGCATCAAATACAGCGTAGCTCTTGACTACATACCTGTATGAAGATCCTTGCTCAGTAAAACAAAGCAAGAGATAAAAATATATATAGTAGATAGGCAACTGCTAGGATTTCCTGACTTACAGAATTTACTAAGGTAAAGGAGAATCTTGCTGAAGGGCAATCTGTGCTTCTCCTATTTAGGCCAATAAAGAGCAATACATTTATGCTGACACCTTGCAGTATGCACCATCATAGGTCAATGAATTACCACATACGAGCTGAACCACTGCCATGACCACATTTTACTCTGTATCTGCAACAAGTTAGGAGGAATCTACTTTTACAGACTTTTTTTATTTTTTTAAATAGAGATCATTCTCATGCAAACCTTTCAATACTTAAAGGGGGCTTATAAGAGAGATGGGTGCAAACTTTTTAGTAGGGCCTGGCGCTATAGGATAAGGGGTAATGGTTTTAAACTAAAAGAAGTTAGATTTAGACTAGGTATAAGGAAGAAATTTTTTACAATGAGGGTGGTGGAACACTGGTCCAGGTTGCCCAGAGAGGTGGTAGATGCCCCATCCCTGGAAACATTCAAGGTCAGGTTGGACGGGGCTCTGAGCAACCTGATCGAGTTGAAGATGTCCCTGCTCGTTGCAGGAGGGTTGGACTAGATGGCCTTTAAAAGGTCCTTTCCAACCCAAACTATTCTATGATTCTATGAAAGTCATCTGTCTCTGTCTTTAATAACAGTTGCCCAAAGCTGAGGGTGAAGGAAATATGGATAATATTATTACTACAGGTAATCATGTATATATTACTTCTCTAAGCAGAACATCAATAAACATGTACAATTAATGCTATATATATACAGTTATGCTAACATTTAGTATGTACTTGATAAAGGATGAACATATGACAAAGGATTCCCTTCAACAGAGGTAGCAGAAATGAATTTATTTTTCCACCACTAGGTATGCTGAAATTGATAGACAAAATACATACACACACAGAATGAAAAAGTAACTTTTTTTTTCTTTCATCAACTAGATGCAATCAATCAGGCATTGGAGAAGGAATGAAAAAAATAAATCTATGTCATACACCCCAGCATATTAATGCAAAATTGCAGCTGAACATAGTTCTCAACTTTCAAGAGGCAAAAATCTTACCTTTTTAACTGTCACACCGTCCTTTGGAGTTTGTTTTGTTGACAGATTGTACCCAATCATCTGTTTAGCAAGCTGTTCCACAATCTTAGGGCTACAAAGGAAAAAGGTTAGTTTATTGAAAGATATTAAAAGAAACAGTCACACAGCTATTAAGCAAACAGCTTAAATATTACAAGAGAAGCAATTTATTTATGCTTTTTCCACTTTAAAGACTTACTCTTTAGTTAGATGCACTCCTCCTTTCAATCCACTATTGAAAATACCTTTTCCTCTCCCTCCAGCCAGAATCTGTGCCTTCAGAACAATTTCTTTTGCCTCTGTAAAGGAAAAACACATTGTTATTCTATTGTGTGTCACTTATCGAGCTTGTTAGTTAAGTTTAAAAACCATTTCCAGGTTAGAGTCTTTAAAAACAATCAGAAGTTGTTTGTAACTAGTGAGCAATAAAACTAGAGTCAATTCAGCATTTTTATAAAGCAACCTTGCAAAAAAGAATTGTTCAAGTTAAAGGATATATACACACACTACTTATTAGCTGGATAAATATGTCATTATTTAGATCAAAACCATGCTATTAATGCTACACGGCCTGCACAACAAACCATATAACCAGCATACAGTTTGACAGCTTACACTCTGGCATGGTTTTTAAAACATGAATCAGATCATATTTTGTCTGGAACGCACAACAAACAAATGCTCATCAAGGAAAATAAATTCCGTTCCTTGCTCTGAACACATGTAAGCAAACCAATGGATGTGGTCCTAAAAGAAGAAATCCCTACTTCCAAATGGCAAGTAAGTGTAGAGCAAGGGCAGTAGCTGTGAAAAGATGTTCATCTGTTTGTGAGGCATCACTCGAATCTTTGGCAATGTGAGTGTAACAGTATCTTAGTAACAAGAAAGTGCAGCAAGACACAGTGACAAAAGCAACTGCACCAAGACCTACGTTCCAAACAGAAGCAATCCTAGCATCCTTAGAGAGTAAAACAAGGGGGAAAAGGGGAAAAGAAAAAAACCAACCAAACAAAAACATCAGTTATGATCTCTGCAGCTCCATGGACCATAGCAGCTTCTTGAGCCGTAAAGACCTGCCAGTTGCCTGTAAGATGTTTATTAATACTGAGTACTGTCACTTTGCACATTTATCATACTACTGCCAGGTATTTTGCAAAGTCTGAGATCCTAATATTAACATATCACTAAGCATGCCTAGAAAAGGCTAACATTGTTACCCTTTTCTAAAGTCTGTGGAAATCTCTGATTTCAGTGATTTTTGGATTAATTAGGTCACACCTTGAATCACAATATTCTATGCAAGTATGCAAGAAAACATGAGAATTTGTTGTTAAATTGACAAATTTACTGTTTATGTGGCACAGAGGATATGGATGCTGTCATTCAAACTAACGCCGGCTTTCTAGGCTTGGATTACATAAAAACATATTACAGATGACTAAACACAAGTTTGGAGGTGTGGCAATTTTTGGTGCAGGCCAGCTCTGACAGCATCATTTCAAAGTTCCAGTATAATAAACTCAAGCAACTAGAAGACAGTTCTTAGGATAGAATAAATATTATGAAATAAATAATCTGTTTTCTGTATTAAGACCGAAATGCATTTTTAACACAGCTATTGGAGGTACTGTACTAAGGGATGCCTGATTTCCAAGCTTCTGAAGGCAAAATCCCTCCACATGTTTATCCATTCAGTAACATTTGACATATATCATTCTGAACCTTAAAAACATTCTCCTTGAAAATACTTCATGCATTCCAATACACTCATGTTCTTGACTCCCTATTATTCATGCCACTGCACGGCAGATAACAAGGAAATTTAAATGCAACAAAAAGTTTTATATCAAGTGTTTCCTAAGCACACAAATTATTAAGATGAATTAAAACTATAAATCACTTTCCAACCTGCAGAAGCAAACTCTAAAATCACAATAGCTGCTGTGATAATGAATCTAATATGCTATTGTTAATAGATGCTGCAAGCATTTAATTAGATAAGTTTTAGGTGCCAACCATCCTGACAAGGTGAGTTTTGATTGTCAGTGATACGTGATATCAATTATGTGAGTGATCACTACCCTCATTCCTAACCAGCACACTACACAAGTGCTGATTATCTCCATTTGGCTACAACAAATGAAGTTAGAGAAAGAAATTAATGTGTACATTTTTATAATCCACCAGAGGACTATCAAGGCAATACAGTAACTTCAGAAAAACAACTATCACAACCATAAACAAACACACTAGAAAGTAAGCATAACCATGTAAAGATTAGACCTGAAGAACTAATCAATACAGCAGCTCAGCAGAGCACAGTACAGCAGGTTCTTCTTGCCCTGGGGGAAACCAACAGGAAGCAATTTAATTCAACAGTTATTTGCCCAAGCTCTGCAAAATGAAGTAAACTAGCCAGATCTTATTTTACAGTAACTAGGCTTGATCATTCAGTACTTATCAAGCTGATTCACTACTTAGCATCACCATTTTATTTAAAGAGCTGATTTCTAGAAATGCTCACACAAAGTTTTTATGTTATCTCCTGCCTGATTCCCAAATTATGTTATGGAAGACTACCCCAAAAGAAAAATGTGGTTTTAGCTGGAATATATGAAGTAATTCACCTTCACTTGTAGGCTGTAATATAAAAAAAAAAAAAAAAAAAAAAAATCTACAAAATTGTGCACAAAGTCAGTATAAAAAAGCTGTAATTGATTTCCATTAGCACCCTTCCAAACTTCTGTAGTAACACTGGAAAAATGTTTAAGCAGGACTATGTAGTTATAAATACTGGATTTGAAGAGAACCTAGCACAAGCAACATGTCTTTACACCACCATAAAGTACAGTGCAACATTTTCAACAGCACTGCATTTGGTCATTAAGGCTTCAATGAACTTCTGTTTATGTCCACTGTCTGATAAGCATTTGTGTAAACTGAAAATAAAAACACCCAAACCAAACAAACCCAAATAACAAAACAGACTGCTTCTTAAGTGTACATAGATTATTTTTTGTCACAGATTTAAAATTTTCTTTACCATTCAAAACAATACAAAAAAAAGACTGCTTTTAAGTGTCACTAATTTAGCAGCAAATAGCCGCAAACTGCACCATGCGGATTAATGACGCATTTCTGCTAACAGCATGTGTTCTTAACTAATTATAACTTGAATACATTAATATCTCAGACTTAACAGTTTATTCTCTGGATCTTATATTTGTCTTTTTTACATTATTCTACAGGAAAAAAGAGAGATATGAACATTTCCAAAGAGTCCTTTAAAAAAATGGAGCAAAATACAGCTTGTCCCTATGTTAGATGCTAATAAATAAGCAAGACCTTTACTCCTCAGAAAAGTCCTCAGAATTTAAAATTTCACAACTGTAGTTGGGTCTAACCGCATTTCTAAAAAATTAAACATAGGAAAAAGCCTTAAGTACTTTTCTTTTAAATAAATTCAGATGTTTCAGCAGGACAGAATATAACACTCCAAGGGACAAGCATCTTCTACACTGCATTCAACAATACATCTCCTTCCCTTCAGTCAGCGCTGTGAATACAAATGGCAGTGATACTCCTTGCAATTGTAATAGGCTCAGTTCTATAATGAAAGCCTATTTAAAATCAATAAAAATCAGTCCTGCTTTTGGGAGCTATGATTACTCTGGTCCACTGGTACTGCTTGCAGCAAAAATGAACAGCTTGTTCTCAGCCCACTGCTGTGTATATTTAACTACTGAATTCTTGATCATGAAACAATATACTGAGAACCATAGTTCTGCTAGTTATATGGTATGCTAATTTATTACCTGTGAACAACTTTCCATTATTATTGATACGACTGTGTGATTGCAAATTAGGCGTGTTAACAATTACACTAAAATGTGCTGTAGCTTATAAAAAATAAACTACTGTAAAGAAGAGACAATGTAAGACTGCATGGTAACAGGCCTCACTCTTGACTGTTTATGAGCAAAAGATTTTCTACCAGAGAATACTCAGGACTACTTTGGCAAGGCATCCTACACTACAGAATTAGAGCATGGGACTGAAAGGGAGGAGGTTTCACACAAAAACCTAATCGCATTTCTGTCTCACCATGTGACTTTCAGCAGCTCGCCTTCTCTGTCTGCAGGGGCTCTGTGAAAATTAATTAGCATCTGCACCTCTTTCAAAAATGCAGAACCTGATTCAGTATTACATTAGTGTATTTTTACCCCAGTGTAAGGCTGATCGCAGAAGGGCTGACTCCAAACCCTGGCAGCACCATAAGCAGTGCAGCAGCAGGAAAGTATCACTGGAAAGTGATCTCTCCTGTAACGAGCTTAGTACACGTTGCAAAATAGATGGAAGAAACCCAGTGTCATGGGAGCAGCGCAATGAAGACAAATTGAGGACATGCCAAATCAAGGTCTTAGAGAAGCACTGTCTCCTTACTAACCCAAACGCGAGCATAAACACTGAGTTGATAAAGACGCGAGAGCCGTTTCCACAAAGGCGGCTGGGGTTAACGAGACTGTTTTGTCCTTCAGTATGCGCAGGAGGACCCCTGCACACTGTGGCTAGGCAGATATTAACTAGTTTCAAGAACTTTGCTAGTCACCCTTCTTTACCGAAAGTCATTAAGCTGTGCTTGATGAGCAGAATTCTACAAGCACGTCCTCCTTGCCTAAGTCCTAAAAGAGCTAGATGGGGTACGTGCATCTGCAACCAGCTCCAAACTCTCCACCTCTACAGAAGAGGCAGAGGCCAATCTAATGATGTGTTTATCTGGTGAAAGTCCTCTGAGGGACACAAATCATTGTTATGCTTGGACACATGCAACTTTAAGCTTCCCTTTGGCCAGCCAAGCTTGAGTCACCACCTTTTTCATGGTTGTCTAGAATATTACTCCACTAAGGACTGGCTGGGACTCCCACTGCATGATCAAGTCTACCTCCCAACCACCTATGCTGGACACTGATTTCCTAAAACAGAGCAGTAAATTCAGTGCTTTCCTTCCCAAAGCAAGTGTCCCCCCCCCCCCTCTGCTTTATAATTTAGCTTTCATAACATGGGAGTTGAGGAAAACAAGGCAGACATTACAGACATTTTCTGACAGCAATTATATTTCATTTTGGATCACACAAGTACTATAAAGATATCAACAAAACCCAGAATGCTTACATGCCATTCCTACTTCAGTTTCCTCACCAGTGCTGATGCAAAACCGCAAATGCTCAAATGTCCCGTAAGGGTTCTAGATAATCTCTCCCAAACTGCATCTCTGCAGCTCAGAGCTTGTCTTCCGACA